TTCAGAGATACTCAGACATGAGGTGGTTTAGCCCGTTTCGCCTGAGACATCATCGCAAGTCCATGCTCAGGAATGCCTCGCGCAAGGTGGTCTGGCCCGTTTCGCCTGAGACATCCTCGCAATTTTGGTCGAAACATGGTTGTGCCCTGAAGTGATCTGGCCCCAATCGCTTCAGACGTCTAACTCTGGGCTCGAAGTTGCGACGCGCGAGGTTGTCCGCTCTGGCTCGCCTGAAACATCCTCGCAACTCTGGGTTCCGCAATGCTCCTGACTTGAGGTGGTCTGGCCAGCTTCGCCTGAGACATCTTCGCAATTCTGGGTTCAGACATGCCGCGCCAGAGTTCGTTTGGCGAATTTCGCCTGACGCACCCCCGCAACTCCAGGCTCAGAGATGATGCTCTCGAGGTGCTCTGGCCAGATCTGCCTGATCCATCGTCGCAACTCTGGGCTCCAGGACGCCGCGCGTGAGATGGTCGGGCAAGTTTCGCCTGAGACCTCCTCGCAGCTCTGGGCTCCGAGATGCCGCGCGCAAGGTGTTTTGGTCAGTTTTGTCTGAGACATTCTCGCAACTGGGTTCCAAGAGATAGGAAGGAGGAGTCAGACAGGGCCGACCTGTCACATTACATTTCTGCTATCGAATTGCGCCCAAGGATGGACTCAGGCGCCCCTGCCCCGAGGGTGCAGTTAGCCGGCGCCAAGGCGAAGGTTTTTTTTCTGAGTCGTGTGAAGTCTCAGGCGGGGGGGGCGCCATGCCTTAGTGCGCGTTGAAATTTCCAGCGAGAGGATAAATAGAAGAGCGAGGAGGAGAACCAGGAGGGGCAGGGCGAGAACAACCAGGAGGAAGAGCACCACGAGCGAGAAGACGAGAACGAGGATAAGAAAAGGAGAAACAACAAAGACGAGGAGAAAGAGGAACGGGATGGGGTGGGGAGGGAAGGAATGGGGGGGAAAAGAATGGGGAGGGAAAGGAGGGGGAGGAGAAGGAGGAGGAGGAGGAGGAGGAGGAGGTGCGGGAGGCGGATAGGGCGACAAATATGGCAAGGGAGGCGATTCCAGCAATGACGACGACATCCACGACGACAAGGGCGCGGGCAAATCAGGGGCAGAAGGATGATGATTCTGAGGACGCACGAACAATGTTTGGAGCCACCCTGGCTAAAAACCGCTGTTGGGGATACTGGGCTGAGTTTATAAATCGGTATGTTGATAATGCTTCTCCGCTTCGTGGTCCTTCTTGTCCTGGTCCTCCTGCTGCTGCCTCCTCCATTCCCCTCCGGACTTCTGTGGGGCACGCGTGGATTGTGATGACGTTGATGCAGAAAACGGTTTTGCACCTGTCGGTACCTGCATCGCAATCGATGCCGGCGCCGGTGCCGATGCCTGCGCAGATACCGATACCGGGCCATGATCGGCCTCGGTATCTCAACAGAAATACAGCCAGCACCAACAGCGCTTCGCTTCCGATCGCGCGTTCTCAGCAGGACCACCGGGGTGGCCCCGCTGAGGGCGCGCGGAACGGCAGCCGCGTAAGATCTACATGGCGGCTTCTGCTGACTTTTATTTTGGTCTGCGGGTCGAGAGCGGGCCTCTTCCGGTTAAGAGCTAGGCGGGGCGCGCAAAGCACTAATTGGGCGGCTTCTGCTGACACGAGGCCTGCGCTGCGGGGGTCTTCTCAGCGGGGGGGGCGCGCCCAGGTGCTCCCGCAGAGAGGGCGCGGGTTCGACGTCTGACCCGGGAATCGTCGCCTGGCCCCGATGTCGCCAGCTCAAAGCAGACGCCCAGCCCTGAAAACGCGAGTGCCAAAACGAGACGCAGGGTCCTCGAGACTTCGGGGAGGGAGATTTCGGGGCAGGGTTTTACCAGGGGGCGCAGACTATGCCCCGAAATCTTTGGCCGACGTTCGAGTCCTCGGTAAATCCGCGATTTTGGGATTGGGATTATTTTTTCTTGGCCACGATGGGGCAAAATCCACGCGGAGGGCGTCGTTCCATCGAGCCCCGCCGCCGGCCCCCCCGGTCAGGCCCGCGCCTTCTCGGCAGAGGCACCCACGAGTGCCCCTGCCGAGAGGAGCCCGGCAGCCCGGTGTTTCTTGCGGCAGAAGCCGCCGTGTAGATTTTGGGCGCGTTGTTCTTTTTTGTGTTAAAAATGTTATATTATATATAAAGACAAATTACAAAACAAAAAATCTTGGGCGTTCGCCGCGGCCAGCCGCGCTCGCTTCCGCCGCGGAGGGCGGCCGTCCGTTCGTCTGGTTCGTCGTCGTCGCAGTCGTCGCCGTCGTCGTCATCTGGGCCCTCGTCGTCATCGTCGTCGTCGTTGTCATCCTCGTCCCGAACATCGCGGCCATCGCGTCGTCGCCGCGCTCGTCTTCGCGTTCGCTCTCGAAGTCAACGCCGCGGGGCACCGCTGCAATCGTCGATGTCGTCGCTGCCAGCGCCGATTGCGCTCGCCACGATCGGCGGTCGCCGCCGCCATTGCGATCCACGTCATCGTGGATGTTTTTTTTTGTTGTAAGTCAAAACATCCGCTGTATCCCCCTCTGCCTTGTGATGCTCTGCGTTCCCACGGCCTCCAGGTTCCCTTTTACATCCTTTTCGGATTCGCGCAGAGACGGAGGGGCCAGAAGTGAGATAGGGACGGGGAGTAGTGCGTGAGAAGAGAACGAGAGGTGGAGGAGCAGCAGGAGGAGGATGGGGAATGGAGGAGGGGCGGCAGCAGAAGGACCAGGGCAAGGGGGAGGAGGACGCGGAGCATCGACGAGGGAGGAAGGAATGATAGCCATAATCCTGCGCCCCCAGCGGCGATTTTACATCCAAGGTGGTTTCGAGACTTGTCCGCGCGCCCCCAAGTCATCGTCCTCCTGTTCCTGATTGGCATGTGCTCGCGTCGTCATTAATCGCTGTGGTCGTTGTCGATGTTGTCGCCGCCTCGTATGTTTCTTACCGTTCACCCTCCCGCGCCACCTCGTTGTCCTCCCTTTTTTTCCGCCTCCCCATGCCGTTCATTGCCGTCCACTGTCTGCTGCTATTTCCGTGTTTCCCCTGCTCTTCATTATCGTCATCGTGCTCCTGATGTTTTTTCTCATCCTGGTTTTGTTCGCCCCTCTTCGCATTCCGGTTTTTCCCCATTGCCTTCATATTTCTCCTTTCAGTGGAGATTCCGGCCTGGCGCTCCCGCCTGATACGTTTTTCCGAATGACTCTGAAATCCTGCTCTCGCCTCGGCGTCAGCTAACTGCCCCCTTGGGCCATGGGCGAATGAACCCCTCCTGGAGGACGATGTCATAGCAGCAGCGCAATCGAACCGTTCGTTCGGTTCTGGCCCCTTCTGGGAGCCCGGTTGCGAGGATGTCTCTGGCGAGCGGGCCGGGCCACCTAGCGCGCCACATCTCGGAGCCCAGAGTTGCGAGCAGGTCTTCGGCCAATCTGGCCGGGTTATTCAAGGTCAGAGCATCTCGGAGCCTGGAAATGGAACGGTGCCGCAGGAGAATCTGGCCAGACCACCTCGCGCGCACCATCTCTCGGAGCCTGGAGTTGCGAGGCCCCTCATGCGAAGCGCGCCAGCCAACCTCGCGCGCGGCATGTCCGAGCCCAAAGTTGCGAAGATGTCTCGGACGAAACGGGCCAGACCATGCCAGACCACCTCAGGTCAGAGCATCCTTGATCCCAGAGCGGGGAAGATGTCTCGGGCAAGGCTGGCCAGACCGTCGTGCGCGGCATCTTGGAGCCCACAATTGTGAGGCTGTCGCAAGCGAAGATGGCAAAACCATCCCACACGCAGCATCTGGGAGCCCAGAGTTGCGAGGATACGTCAGGCGAAACTGACCGAGCCACCTCGCGCCTGGCATCTCTCGGGGGAGCGTAAGACCCGGGTTTGCCAGGACTCGGGTTCGCCATCGTTTTTTGACGACCGCGCCTCGGATTTTGACGAGGAGGAGTTTCGTGGGATGTCTGCAGCGGGAGGCCTCGTCAAAATGCAGGCTCGGCCTCGTCATTTTTTGACGACCTCGTCTGGGATTTCCGAATCCCCTGTACCCAGGTCTTACGTCCCCCTGAATCTCGGAGGCCAGAATTGCGAACATGTCCAATGCGAGCTCGACCGGGCCGTCCCAGGTCAAGGCATGTCTGAGCTTAGAGTTGCGAGGATGTTTCAAGCGAGTCGGATCGGACCAACTCAGGTCAGAAAATCTCCAATCCCAGATCTGCGATGATGTCTCGGGCGACAATGTCCTGACAGTTTCGTGCACGGCATGTCTGAATCTGAGCACAGAATTGCCAGGGCGTCTCAGGCGAAATGGGCCAGACCACGTCGCGAAAAACATCTCTAAGCCCAGAGTTGCGACGATATCTCAGGCGAAATGGGCCAGACCACAGCAAGCCATGGCGTATTTGAGCCCAGCCTTGCGAGGAAGCTCAGGCGAGCCCGCCCGCACTGTCTCGTGCACAGCATCTAGACACCCACAGTTGCGAAGATGTCTCAGGCGGAACTGGCCAGACCACCTTGCGCAGCGCATCTCGGAGCTGAAAGTTATGAAGATGTCTCATGCGAAACGGGCCAGGCCACCTCAGATTCAGGCATCTGAGGCCAGAGTGGCGAGAATGTCTGAGGCAAAACTGGCTGGATCACTTCGCGCGCGGCATGTCTGATCCCAAACTTGCGAGGATGTCTAAGGCGATTCCAGCTGGACCTGATCAGGCCACGGCATCTCTGAGCCCAGAGTTGCACCCATGCTTCTGGCTTCCACTGTAGGGGCCAGCGAGCCTGCAGGGTCGCCGACCTCGGTTATCGGTGACCTGCCAGAGCCTCCAAGAGGCCTCGCGAGGTCACCGACGTCGGCGACCTGGCGGGGCCTTCAACGGGCCTCGCGAGGTCATCGATTGGGGCCTCCAGCGGGCCACTCCGGGCGACATGCCGGGACCTCCAACGGGCCCGCCCACCTCGGTGACCTTCCCGACTCCGGAGAAGGGGAGCAGGGCGAAAGAGCGGCCAGCAGTCCCGCGCGCTTTAGCACTCGTGGTGAGCTTGGTCGGCCGTTTTCCAGCGGCGTGTATGCCTCCCCGGCCAAGCCTCCTCCTCCTCGTCCTCCTCCTCCTCCTCGTTCTCCTCCTCCTCCTCCTCGTTCTCCTCCTCCTCCTTCTCCTCCTCCTCCTCCTCCTCCTCCTCCTCCTCCTCCTCCTCCCCCTCCTCCTTCTCCTTCTCCTCCTCTGCCTCTCCTCTTTCCCTCCTGCCCTGCTGCGGCGTGTGTGGCGAGATGTAGATACCATGCTGTGTACATACCGACGCGAGGCAGCGCGGACTACTTGCACCGGCAAGTTCGGCTGAGGAGACCAACCTGTCCGCGGTTCTTTGGCTGCTCGCTGCTCTGGCCTGTTGGCCGCTCGTATCTTCGCGGAGGCCATTCAACTGAGTCTCATGACGTGCTGATGTTGCCAATGCGGGGTCCCCAGAAGTTCCTTCCCCTTCCCTGTGACGAGTTTTTCATTCTGGATGACTTTTTATTTGCGCGGGCTCCCGAACCACAGCTACAGTGCAAAACCCGTGCCAAGAAGCACCCTGCTTGCTTCCAGGATGCCCTGGGTTCCTTGGGTTTCGATGGTTTTGCTATGGAGAGCGTGGCGCTCCCACACCAAAAGCCAGTGGACATCATCGGGTTTGGGTTGTTTTTTTGTGGGAGGTATTTTCGGGTTCAGTTTTATTTGCTGTAAAGGCAAATCGCCGGGATGGAACTATTTGCGACGTCGGAGGTTTCGGAGAAGCAGGCGCCCCCCCCCGTGTCCAGGTCTCCCAAAAGGGGGGCTGGAGCAGATGTGGCCTGGTCGGACGCTCGCGCCCCGTCGCCGATGCCTCGGCGATGCGGCGCGATCTGCAGCCGACTCTTCTCAGCCCCGTCGTCGCGAGTGCCTCGGCGATGCGGCGCGAGCTTTCGACCCCATCAGCTCCTCCTTCTCCTCCTCCTCCTCCTCCTCCTTTTCCTCTCTCCTCCTCCTCCTCCTCGTCCTCCTCCTCCTCCTCGTCCTCCTCCTCCTCCTCCTCCTCCTCCTCCTCCACCTCCTCCTCCCTCTCCTCCTCCTCCTCCTCCTCCTCCTCCTCCTCCCTCCTTGTGGAGAGAAGAATCGCCCGCGACCCTGCCCCCCCGGGGGCCCACGAAAGTCCGCCGCGGGCCGCCGCAGCAGCAGCTCGGCGATGCGGAGCGAGCCTCCCACCCCACCTGCTCCAGCCCCACTCCCGTACCTCCGACAGCACTGCTCTGCAGCCCGTCTTGGACCATCTTGGGCGGACTTGGAGGCCATCTTGGACCATCTTGGAGGCCATCTTGAGCCAACGTGGCCATCTTGGAGGCCATCTTGAGCCGTCTTGGAGGATTTTGTGTGGACGCTGAGGTGGTTTACGCGGCCTTCCGGGACCCCGGCGGAACGGGCCGAAGCCCCAGGGGGAGTTCTTTTGGAATATGAGCCAAAACCAAAACCGTAATAGTTTGGCACGCCAGGCACCCCTGCGATGAATCCACAGGGGGCGGCGGATCGAAGACGCCTACGGCGAATCACCGCCACCCCCTGCCTTTGTGGAAGCGCCTATGTGGCCGAACGTTGAGGCCAGACCTGCCAAGCTATCGGACCATGTGTTCCCCGAATCGGTTTGGAAAGCCTTCGGGGAACACGTGGGCATCTTGAAGGTAATCTTGGCCGTCTGGAAGCCATTTTGATCTTTTCTGACCTTCTTGGAGGACGTCTTGGAGGGCTCTTAGACCGTCTTGGAGGCCATTTTGAGCGTCTTGGAGACCTCTTGGGCCGTCTTGGGGGTCTCTTGGGGCCGTGTCTTGGGCCTCTCGGGCGATCTTTGGGGTCGTTTGGGCCGTCTCGGGCCGTCGGAAGGCAAAACGCAAATACCGTAATCCTTCAAAAACTCGTGGGAAATCAATCATTTTGGCCTTTTCGGGCCTTCCTGGAGACCCTCTTGGAGGCCTCTTGGGCAGTCTTGAGCCATCTTATGGCCATGTTCGGCCGTCTTAGTGGGCTCCTGGTCCGTCTGACGCCGTCGGAAGCCGTTTGGGGGGCCTCTATGGGCCGACTTGGGACCCTCTTGGAATGCTCCAGGGCCGTCTTGGAGACCATCTTGGGCGTCTGAAAGGCCTCCTGTGCCGTCTTGGGGGCCTCTTGGGGCCGTCTTGGGGCCCTCTTGGGCCGTTCTGGGGCCATCTTGGAGGCCTCTTGGGCGATCTTTCGGCGATCTTTGGGGGCTCTTGGGCCGTCTCGGGCCGTCGGAAGGCCGAAAAGAAGGAAATGCAAACTTCCGTCAAAAACGATTGGAAAATCAAGGTTTTTGGCCTCTTCTGGCCTTCCTGGAGGCCCTCTTGGGGGCCTCTTGGGCCGTCTTGGGCCAGCTTCGAGCCAACTTCGGCCATTTTGGTGGGTTCCTAGCACGTCTGGCGCCGTCGGGAGCCGTCTTGGGAGCCTTTCTGGGCCGACTGGGGGCCCTCTTGGGGCGCTTCGGGGCCGTCTTGGAGGCCATGTTGGGCGGCTTGGAGGCAATTTTGGGCGTGTTGGAGGCCTCTTGGGCCATCTTGGGGCCCTCTTGGGGCCGTCTTGGAAGCCACTTGGGCCGTCATGGGGCCCTCTTGGGAGCCTCTTGGGCGATCTTGGGGGCCTCTTGGGACGTCTTGGGCCGTCTTGAGCCGTGTGAAGGCCGAACAGGCGAAACTGCCAAAATCCTTCAAACACCTAAGGAAAAACAATAATTTTGGTCTCTTCGGGCCCTCCTGGAGAACCTCTCGACGGGCTCTTAGGCTGTCCTTGAGGTCTCTTAGGGGCCTCTTGGGCCGCCTTGGGCCATCTTGAGGCTATCTTAGGCCGTCTTGGGTACATCTTGGGCCGTCTTGGAGGCATCTTAAAGCCATCTTAGCCGTCTTGGAGGCCATCCTGGCCGTCTTGGAGGCATCTTGGAGGCCATCTTGGAGCCGTCTTGGGCAGGAAAATTGGGGACTTGAGGTCCTTGGCAATCCTCCCGGGACCCCGGCGGTACGCGCCGGAGCCCCAGGGGGAGTTCTTTTGGAAAAAGAGCCAAAACCAAAACCTAGAGGGTTCAGCACGCCAGGCACCCCTGTGATGAATCAACAGGGGGCGGCGGATCGAAGACGCCTACGGCGAATCACCGCCGCCCCCTGCCTTGGGGGAAGCGCCTATGTGGCCGAACGTTGAGGCCAGACCTGCCAAGCTATCGGACCATGTGTTCCCCGAATCGGTTTGGAAAGCCTTCGGGGAACACGTGGGCATCTTGAAGGTCATCTGGGCCGCTTGGAGGGCTCTTGGACCGTCTTGGAGGCCATCTTGAGCGTCTTGGAGACCTCTTTGGCCGTCTTGGGGGCCTCTTGGGGCCGTGTCTTGGGCCTCTTGGGCGATCTTTGGGGGCACTCGGACCGTCGGAAGGCCGAAAAGCAAGCAAATGCCACCGAACCGAACCGAACAAGCCATACGCCAGTAGGCGCGTGGGCAAAAGCATGCGTCTAGCAAGCTCGACGCGGGATCAAGGAAAATGCCGCGAGCAGCCGGACAAAGCACAAGAGGTAGAAGAAGAGAAGAAGGAGGAGGAAGAAGGGGCCAGGAGAGCACCATGTACGGTGCTGCGTGCGTTTCCTGCCAGGGCGACCGGGCGCTAAAAAAGAAGAAATATGTTACAGATGGTCGCTTGCCCCTTCAGGCCGTAGAATTGCATTTGCCGCTGCTCTGCACTGAATTGGGTCTTCCAAACATTGCAAGAGCAGTTCATCATCACGGAAACGTGCAGAGAGTAAGTTATACAAGCATTTAGCCCATTCTTGTTTGGGCCTGCCTCTCCTCCTTGGGTAAGCGTCCGTTGCTGGCCAGAGGCTGCCAGGCTGAAACGTCAGCTGCCGTCAGAAAAAAACTCGTGGGAAATCAATGATTTTGAATTTTTCGGGCCTTCCTGGAGGCCCTCTTGGAGGCCTCTTGGGCCGTCTTTGGCCATCTTAGGGCCATGTTCGGTCGTCTTAGTGGGCTCCTGGTCCGTCTGACGCCGTCGGAAGCAGTTTGGGGGGCCTCTATGGGCCGACTTGGGGCCCTCTTGGAATGCTCCAGGGCCGTCTTGGAGGCCATCTTGGGCGTCTTAAAGGCCTCCTGTGCCGTCTTGGGGGCCTCTTGGGGCTCTCTTGGGCCGTTCTGGGGCCATCTTGGAGGCCTCTTGGGCGATCTTTCGTCGATCTTTGGGGACTATTGGGCCGTCGGAAGGCCGAAAAGAAGGAAATGTCAAAATCCTTCGAACACCTGCGGGAAATCAAGATGATTGGCCTTTTTTGGCCTTCCTGGAGGCCCTCTTGGGGGCCTCTTGGGCTGTCTTGGGCCAGCTTCGAGCCAACTTCGGCCATCTTGGTGGGTTCCTGGCACGTCTGGCGCCGTCGGGAGCCGTTTGGGAGGCCTTTCGGGGCCGTCTTGGAGGCCATCTTGGGCGGCTTGGAGGCCATCTTGGGCGTGTTGGAGGCCTCTTGGGCCATCTTGGGGCCCTCTTGGGGCCGTCTTGGAAGCCACTTGGGCCATCATGGGGCCCTCTTGGGGGCCTCTTGGGCGATCTTGGGGGCCTCTTGGGCCGTCTTAGCCGTCGGAATGGAATGCCGAGAAGAAGCAAATTCCAAAATTCTTCAAAAACCTAAGACAAATCAATGATTTCGGTCTCTTCGGGCCCTCCTGGAGGACCTCTTGGAGGCCTCTTGGGCCGTCTGGGAGGCCTCTGGGGGGCCTCTTGGGCCGTCTTGGGCCGTCTTGGACTCTCTTGGGCCGTCTTGGAGGCCGTCTTGGACCATTTTGGGCGGACTTGGATGCCATCTTCGCGAGTTTTTGACGACGTCCCGAGCGAAAAGGCCGTTTCAGGCATTGACTGATGCAGTTTCCGGGTGGCCGGCGGGACGGGCCGAAGCCCCAGGGAGAGCTCTTTTGGAAAAAGAACCAAAACCAAAACCGGGAGGATCTAGCACGCCGGGCACCCTTGCGATGAATCGACAGGGGGCGGCAGATCGAAGACGCCTACGGCGAATCACCGCCGCCCCCTGCCTTTTTGGAAGCGCCTATGTGGCCGAACGTTGAGGCCAGACCTGCCAAGCTATCGGACCACGTGTTCCCCGAATCGGTTTGGAAAGCCTTCGGGGAACACGTGGGCATCTTGAAGGTCATCTTGGCCGTCTTGGAGGCCTCTTGGGCAAGCTTTGGGCGATCTTTGGGGCTTTTTGGGCCGTCTCGGGCCAGCTTCGAGCCAACTTCGGCCATCTTGGTGGGTTCCTGGCACGTCTGAAGCCGTCGGAAGCCGTTTGGGGGGCCTCTATGGGCCGACTTGGGGCCCGCTTGGAATGCTCCAGGGCCGTCTTGGAGGCCATCTTGGGCGTCTGGGAGGCCATCTTGGGCGTGTTGGAGGCCTCTTGGGCCCTCTTGGGGCCCTCTAGGGGCCATCTTGGAGGCCACTTGGGCCATCATGGGGCTCTCTTGGGGGCCTCTTGGGCGATCTTGGGGGCTTCTTGGGCCGTCTTGAGCCGTCGGAGAGCCGAAAAGGCGCAAATGCCAAAATCCTTCAAAAACCAAAAGAAAATCAATGATTTTGGCCTCTTCGGACTCTCCTGGAGGACCTCTTGGAGGCCTCTTGGGCCGTCTGGGAGGCCTCTGGGGGGCCTCTTGGGCCGTCTTGGGCCGTCTTGGACTCTCTTGGGCCGTTTTGGAGGCCGTCTTGGACCATCTCGGGCGGACTTGGAGGCCATCTTGGGCCATCTTCGCGATTTTTTGAGGATGTCCCGAGCGAAACGGCCGTTTTTGGGCATTGACAGACGCATTTTGGGAAACGCGCGGGTGGCCGGCGGGACGGGCCGAAGCCCACTGGGGAGTTCTTTTAGAAAAAGAACCAAAACCAAAACCTGAATCATCCAGCACGCCGTGCACCCCTGCAAGCAGGGGGCGGCGGATCGAAGACGCCTACGGCGAATCACCGCCGCCCCCTGCCTTTTTGGAAGCGCCTATGTGGCCGAACGTTGAGGCCAGACCTGCCAAGCTATCGGACCACGTGTTCCCCGAATCGGTTTGGAAAGCCTTCGGGGAACACGTGGGCATCTTGAAGGTCATCTTGGCCGTCTTGGAGGCCTCTTGGGCAAGCTTTGGGCGATCTTTGGGGCTTTTTGGGCCGTCTCGGGCCAGCTTCGAGCCAACTTCGGCCATCTTGGTGGGTTCCTGGCACGTCTGAAGCCGTCGGAAGCCGTTTGGGGGGCCTCTATGGGCCGACTTGGGGCCCGCTTGGGCTCCAGGGCCGTCTTGGAGGCCATCTTGGGCGTCTGGGAGGCCATCTTGGGCGTGTTGGAGGCCTCTTGGGCCCTCTTGGGGCCCTCTAGGGGCCATCTTGGAGGCCACTTGGGCCATCATGGGGCTCTCTTGGGGGCCTCTTGGGCGATCTTGGGGGCTTCTTGGGCCGTCTTGAGCCGTCGGAGAGCCGAAAAGGCGCAAATGCCAAAATCCTTCAAAAACCAAAAGAAAATCAATGATTTTGGCCTCTTCGGACTCTCCTGGAGGACCTCTTGGAGGCCTCTTGGGCCGTCTGGGAGGCCTCTGGGGGGCCTCTTGGGCCGTCTTGGGCCGTCTTGGACTCTCTTGGGCCGTTTTGGAGGCCGTCTTGGACCATCTCGGGCGGACTTGGAGGCCATCTTGGGCCATCTTCGCGATTTGTTGAGGATGTCCCGAGCGAAACGGCCGTTTTTGGGCATTGACAGATGGATTTTGGGAAAATTGCGGGTGGCCGGCGGGACGGGCCGAAGCCCATTGGGGAGTTCTTTTAGAAAAAGAACCAAAACCAAAACTTGAATCATCCAGCATGCCGTGCACCCCTGCAAGCAGGGGGCGGCGGATCTAGAGGCGTTCGGCCCATCCCGCCACCGTACTTGGGATCGCGGGCGCGGGGCGCGGGTGGAATTTGGTCGGAGGCCGCATCAGCAGTTCAGAGTGCGCCTCGCACTCGGTCCCCTGGGCAGCAGGGCTCCGAGGCGGGGATGCATTCATGACCTTGGCATCGCTCGGGCGTGTGCATTTTTTTCGGCGAGGACCATCGAGGAGTATCCTTGATCATTTGGCGAAAAAACTACGCACGAAACCGAAAAAAAACAGGAAATGGACGTCCGAGCGATGGCCAGTGACCGCCGTTTGGGGGGTCGACATTCGGGGACCTCCGCAGGCGGCGGATACCGATATATGCATATATGCATATAGACAGATATATATATATATATATATATATATATATATATATATATATATGGGCCCCCTTGGGCCAACTCCTGTCCACCCACACCGCCCGCTGGGGTCTCCCATGACGTCGGTTCCCCACGAGATCTCCCCGCCTCGCAAGCGTGTCCGCGCCACAGCAAGGGCGGTCACCGAAGCACTGTCGAGCCAAGGGGGAACTTGTTCTGGCACCCTCCACCCAACTTTCAAAGACTTGATTTTTTCCCTACAGAAGCACCTTCTGTGATGACGCCTCCCTGTGTGTGGTGCGTGTGTGTCTCAAGATGTATTTCAGATAAAGCGGCGCAGGAGCAGGAGCAGCAGACCAGGCGCGGCAGCAGCAGGGAAAGCCACCCGTCGGCGCTGGCGCAGCCCTCCCGCCACTGCAGCTACGTGGGCATACAGCGGCTGTGGCCAGGGGGCGATTTTTTCCGCCCGCGCGCGACCCAGGCAGGCGCTGGCTGCGGCATGCACATTTCCGCAGCGGCGCTCGGGCGCTGCTTCTCTTCCCCCTGCTGCCCCTCCGAGCCGGCCGCCCGCTCGGGCCACGCCCGACGAGGGCTCCGCTCGAGGAGAGAAGCACGGGGACCAGCACCAAGCTGTCGCGGAGCTTTGTCGACGCCGATCTTGGTCATGGGTCCACGCCAGCTGTCGCGGACTCGCGAGGATGACCCACGAACCGACAACGGCCAAGATGGACGGTGACCACAACCGAAACCAGCAGTTCCGGACTCTGTCTTGGTCATGGTCATCGCCGTCTTTCCATCTGCAGTTTCGTGGGTGGACAGAACCCCCAACAGTGACACGTCGATTAGTGAATTGTCCGTTTTCGGTTCTCGAGATGGCGCCGTGGCCGTTATTTTCCAGGCTTGCGCCCGCCAGGTTTGGGCTTCAGGTCGTTTTCGCTAAACCACATTTTGCTAAAGGGGGGTCTGTCCATCCCCGACAGTTGGCCCTGGCAATCTCGGGACTGGTACAGGCCTGTCCGTCGGGCGGGGGCGCCGGGGGGGCTACCTCTCCGAGCGCTCCCAAGCCTTCCGCCCCCTGGCCAGCGGACATCCCGCACGGCCTGGGCGGCGGCTGTCTTCCACCATGGCCAGGGGGCGCGGGGTGTCCCCAGATCTCCGACGACATGTTTTCTTCCATCTGGGTGTCTCTCTTCGACTGATCAGGCGTAGGCTTTCTACTTGGTGGGGCATCCGCCCTCCTGTTCTCCATCCGTCTCAGCGTCCTCCGCGCCACGGCGCGGTCCGCCGGCTCACAGACGCGCTCGCGTCCGCCGGCGCTGCAGACCAAACGAGTCGTTCCTCGACGGGACTCCAGGGTCCGCTGATAGGGCCCCGGGACCATCCAAACATGGATCTGGGTTAGCCCTGACTCACCGAGCGCGTGCCACTACTCGCAAGATGCCTACTCGCAAGCGTCCGAAAAATACATGCCTGCCTCGGTGTAGTGGATCGCAAGTCCGCCGCGGCGGATCCGGGTCGTTTGCGAGTAGCTACTTTGCGAGCCGCGGAACGCGCTTGTCTATTGACCACCAGAAAGAACTTCGAGCACCAAGAAAGTACCGAAACTGTAAGTCCCTGAAGGGCGATACACCTGGGAGAGTCTTCACTGTCACGTGTTGCGCCCCGGGAGGCGATGCTCGTTCGACACTTCGCCAACGTTTCGCCAACGCTCTGGGTGCTCGGAATCACTTTGGGGATGTGGTCCTTTAGCACAAGTGGAACAACAGAAATCTGGGGCGACAGGCAACCCCCAGTTTGCGGGTCGGCTTCCCCTGGGACCGCGCATTGGAACGACGGCATCGTCGGATGTCTGGGCCCGCCCGCGCACACCGACCTTGGCCAGGCCGCCCTCGGGTGCGGGACGGAGCCTTGCAGGTTACGGGGCAACGTTAGGGGGGGACAGGTCCAGTGGGGGAAGCGGGTCCAGAGGGCAAAGGGTGCTGGACCCCGGGGCCTTCCCCCAGGACGACCTCTTCCTCCTCCTCCTCCTCCTCCTCCTCCCTCCTCCCTCCTCCTCCTCCTCCCTCCTCCTCCTCCTCCTCCTCCTCCTCCCCCACTCATCATCGACAGGGGCCCGATAGCCCACTCCGCCCAGAAGCGTGCGGATTCACTATCGGTCTTCTGTCGCCGATTCGTCGGCCATGTATCACCGATTCGGTCGATCTCGCACCCCCCTTCCGAGCTGGTCCCCCCCAAAGTTCTTCGGTAGAAAACCGTAGGAGCCTGTTATACCCTATGAATTCCGCCTTTTCCTGGTACACTCTCTTAACTCGTCTTTAGCATGGACTCGCGTCGATTAGCGTTTGGGAGTCGATGAGATAGCGCCGATTTAGCGCCGACTGGCGTCGATCTAGCGTCGATCCAGCGTCGATGAGCGTCGACTAGCGTCGATTCGCGTCGATTCGCAAGAGCCGACAGGATGGTCTGGGAGGCTCCCGTGAGTTGCGACCGATAAGTTCCTCCTCGCGCAGTGATCGGTGTGCGCGGTTGGCTCGCGATTGCGGGCGCGCGCAGCCGGCGGGGGCCTGTTTGTGTGGCGCGAGTGTAGTCGGCGGCCTGGGCTCGACCTCGCGCGTCACGAGGTCAAAACGGTGGTGCACGAGAGAAAAAACACGTTCTCCGTTTCCATCCTTCCACTTTCCCTCGTGCTCTTTGTGCCTCTTCTTCCTTATTCGTGGTTCCCTCCCCTCTTTCTCTTGCTGGTCTCTCTATCTCTCTCTTTACCTCGCTCTGTCTCGCCCCATGACAACGTACAGATTTTATCCGCCCCTACTGCTTATCGGATGGTCACTTGTCAAGTCGTATTTCTTATCTTGTTTGATTTTCAGTTGCCTTCTTCGGCCCTTCAAAATGATGCTCCAGCTGCAGCCTTGGCCATGTGTCAGGGTTGGTGCGACGTGTCCGTCCTCGGAATGGTGTCCTCGCCCCAGTGTGGGCAACATTCTAGACGCTTCGTGTCTCCTCACCAGCGCATGCGGAAAGGATGCCCAGGCGAGTTGCATCGATCAGGGAAGCTTAGGAGCACGCAGTGGAACAAAGATAGGCGCAGCCGTCAAACCGAAGTTTGGGATCAGGTTGAGCAGACCCAGCAGAGACCAGATACGCCGTCGCGGCCATGCCGAATGGGGAGGCGGAGGAGGAGGAAGATGAGGAGGAGGAGGAGGAGGAGGAGGAGGAGGAGGTCGCGGAGACCGCGAAAACTAAGCAAATACGTAAGAGCCAGAGTAATGATGGCCCCCCCCAGAAGCCTACGAACGTCGCGATATTTTCGCTCCAACGCTCTCCACGTAATCGCTTGAACGCTTCACTCAGAGCACGAAGACGCATCGCGCGCCCCTCCAGCGTCGCCTGCAGCACCAACGTAGGCATCACCTTGGCCACGAAGCTTGAGCTCGGCTCCAACTCGGGCCAGCGCGAGCCGCCCTGGCCGAAGATCAGAGCACCCGTCGCCTCGACAGAGCGCCGTATGGAACGCCCCCGCGGCGGCGTCCAACGCCCCCTCGACAGAGCGCCGTACGGAACGCCCCCGCATAGGTGTGCATCCTGCGTCCAGCGGCGGGACATTACATTGACCGTACGTGCTGGCACCGAAAGCAAGTGCATCGCCGTTGCTCAGGAGAAGGACCGCGAGCCAGATACCGATCGACACTTGCGCGCATAGGCAAAGCCATCGTGAAGTTCCTGGACGTTGCACTGACCGGCGCTACCTTTCCGTCATGGCGTAGGCAAGGCCACGAAACGACCGTCGCTCTGCAGAAACACTTCGCGGTTCATCCCCACGTCCATTTGCGTATACGTAAGCTTCGCAGATCCCCCCCGGCGGACGGCGAGGTCTCGCGGTGATCTGCGTACGACGTCACTCTGTTGGCCTTCCCAGAAGCCCACGAAAGTGGCGGCGAGGTTTAGTGGTGATCTGCGTAAGACATACTTCCGCTGAACCTCCCAGGAGCCCGCGAAAGTGGCGACAGTTCCACAGGGCGCCGCGAGGAGGAGGTAAGAGACGGAAGGGAGGAGGGAGCAGAACGGGAGAAGGATAAGGAAGAGGAGGAGGAGGAGGAAGAGGAGGAGGAGGAGACGCGACCGCATTGCTCTATTCACCACGAGTACCCAACCAAGTGAGGGGTGGGAAAAATACAATCCGATCCTCCTCCTCGTCCTTCTGCCTCCTTCCTCCTTCCTCCTCCATCCTCGCTCCTCCCTCCCTCCCCTTTTCTTCCTCTTCCCCCTCCCCTCCTCCCCCCTCCTCCCTCCCAACTGCCATACAATATACTACTACTCCTCCTCCCTCCTCTCTTCACCCTCCTTCCTCCTCCCCCCTCTCCCTCCCCTCCTCCCCTTCGCCCGCACTTTCTTGCAACGCAATGTCTTGCAAATGCAATGCAAATTCAACATCGTGCAATGCAACCAAACAGGATGCAATGCAACGCATTGCAGCGCAACGCAACGCAACGCAATGCAATGCAATGCAATGCAACGTAATGCAAATGCAACATGCAATGCAATACGTTGCAATGACAGTCAATGCAGTGCAGTGCAATGCAACGCAGTGCAATTCAACGCAATACAATGCAAGGCAGCGCAACGCAACGCGACGCGACGCGACGCAACGCAACGCAACACAGTGCGCCCGCCAGCACGTCTGCCCGCCCGCCCGCCCGCCCGCTCGCCCCTCCGCGCGCGCATTCCATTCCATTCCATTCCATTCCATTCCATTCCATTCCGCGCCATTCATCCCATTCCATTCCTTTCCGCGCCAGTCCATTCCATCCACTCCTGCCTTCCATTCCATCCATTCTCTCCATTCGGTCCATTCCGTCACAGTCCCCCATTTCCCCGCCCCACGGTCATACATTCTGGACCCAGCGGTGAGGGGCATTCTCAAAAAGATGTTTTGGGAAGGGCTGGTTGGCTGCTTGGTTGGTTGGCTGGTTGGCTCCCCAGTTGCCAGGTGAGCCGGCGTCCAGAGGTCAATTTTGGTCCCCCCCCTCACACGGATCGCGCCGCGGGGGCCGGAAATTAGTTCTTCGACCGAAGTAACCCTTATCGGGCGATAATAAACCCCCTGGGATAATAAAGTTCGCAGTTCCCGCGGGGAGAAGGTAAGTTATAATGATGATGATGATGATGATGATGATGATGATGGTGGTGATGGTGATGGTGATGGTGATGGTGATGGTGATGGTGATGGTGATGGTGATGGTGCTGATGCTGATGCTGATGCTGATGCTGATGATAATGATGATGTTGATGGTGATCCTGGGCGAACCGCACAAGGCTGACACGAGAGATCTTTTTGCCAGCAGGCGCGCGGCGCAAGGCTGACTTGAGAGATATCAAGGCTCGCGGCTATCCAACTTGCCAGCAGGCGTGGATTGGTTGTAATATGGTGATGATGATGATGATGATGATGATGATGATGATGATGATGATGATGATGATGATGATGGTGATGGTGATGGTGATGGTGATGGTGATGGTGATGGTGATGGTGATGGTGATGGTGATGGTGATGGCGACGATGATGGAGGAGAAGGAGGAGGTTAAACCAGGCGCACGACAGAAGCCTGATTTTAGCGGTTTCTTGGCTCATGGCTACTTGCTTGCAGAGGCGCACTACACAGAGATTACTCGAGAGATCTCGAAGCTCGTGGCTACTTGCCCGCAGAGGCGCAGGACACAAGGCTGACTCGAGCGATCTCGAGGCTCGTGGCTGGGCGTCTAGACATGTGCCAGCGCAAGAGGTCCTTGGCCGATCTGGCCAAGAAACCCCTCTTGCGTTGGATTTCGAACCACTATCCCATGCAAACACGGCATCCTTTGGAGCCGTCCTTGCATGGGATACGCTCGGTGCAAAGCTGGGCGGCGCCGCTAGCCTCCTCGTAGGTGGCGTACTTCGGCTCGGCCGCCGTGGGGTCCTTGCAAGGCTTGAACTTGTGTTTGGCCTTGGCCTTGGCCTTGGCCATCGCCACGTCGTTGTCGCTCGCCTCCTTGAGTTTACTGGTGAACTCATTCCCTCGAGCGACCACGGCGTGGAGAGCTGCTGGCCTTTGGCGGCCCTCGCCTCGGATCTCGCGCAGGGCGCGCTCGATCCAGCGACTCGCCCAGAGGCCGCAGCTCCAACCGTCTACTTGGTACCGTCTGTTGCTCGGTGCTGGGCAATGCTCGCCAGGGCCAATGGCGCCGAGGTTGCGGAGGATCCTCGTGGCGACCTGGGGGGGCCACGTGCGAACCCGACCCACGAATTCTGATGAAGAGGAGGGCGGGGTACACTTCGCTCGGCAGCTCCCGAGCAAAGTGAAACCCACCTTCCCCCCTCAGAAATCGTGGGGTGTAGGCGTGGGTTCGCATGTGGCCCTTTTGGGCCTGCTTGGCGTTCTCGGACGACTGCTTGAGGGCGTCGCGGTAGTCCACCCCGACGCCGCCCCCGTCGATCCTCGAGACCTGGCGGGAATTGCCGCAAGCGCCCCCTGCACAGGGCGCCTCCAGGAATCGCTCCAAACCGGAGCGAAATGCTGGAGGCACCCTGGGGCGGGGGGGCATTGCAGCAACCGCCGACCTTGAGGTACGTGTAGTGCGTGGGCGATTCGGAGTGCACGCAGACCAGCACGTGCTGGGCCTTCTCGACCCTTTCGGCCCAGCGTTTCTGCTCCTCGGGCCGCTGGGCGGCGAGCGCGTCCTCGCCCTCGCCCTCTCGAGCCCAGGCGACGGCCGCCGTGGGCTCGACCACCAGCACGTTGTCGGGGACGCCCACTCGCTCCTCGATCTCGCCCAGCAGCGCGTGCGCCGTGCCCAGCTCGAGGGCTTCGCCCTTGACGATCTGCTCGCAGTTCATGATCGCGCACTCCTTGGCGAGCGTGTCTTGTCTGGCGCCAGTCGAGCTTCTGCGGCTTGGGGGACTTGTAGTCCTGCTCGATCGTGACCTGTGGCGCTCGGGATTCGCAGGCATTCGTTAGCTCCCCCCTGCTTCCGCTTTACTTCCGCCTGCTTCCGCTTCGCGTTGCTCCCGCCTGCTTTCGCGCTTCGCGTTGCTTCCGCCAGCTTCCGCTTTCCTTCCTTTTCCTCTGCCAATTGCCGCCTGCTTCCGCCGCCCCAGGCAGAGGCCGGCGGAAGCTAACGAGTGCCTGTGACCCTCGAAGCCTCGCTGCTGTTGATCTGGAAAATCGCCGCGGTTTCCACCTCGAGGACGCGCAGGCGGCACTCGTTCTCGGCGCCCAGGTCTCGCCAGACGTCCTGCACTCTGCCGCGCCTGCCCTCTCGGTCGCCCTCCTCGGCGACGCGCGCCACCTTGCCGTGCCAGGGGGGGCTCCTCGCAAGCCTCGAGGCTGCCTTCCTGATTGGCCCTGTCCTGTTTCTTGGCGCCCTTCTCCGCTTGCTTCTTCTGCCTGAACTTCTTGGAGAAGCTCGCGCGCGGCTTCGGCGCCCAGCCTGCGAGCTTCGCCTTGGCCGCGCCTCTGCCAAGGTGCTCGAGCGAGGTCTCGCCGCCAGCCTTGCCCTTCTCGCGCTGCCATTCGCGAGCGTGATTGCCCGGGAACTGGCCCGCGAACTTGGACGCCCACCTGTTCTTGCGTTTATTTGTCCGTTTCAGCTTGATCCTGTTCTCGAGGGCG